GAGAGAGAGAGAGAGAGAGAGAGAGAGAGAGACAGACAGACAGACAGACAGACAGACAGACAGAGCTTGTTTCATCTCTCTACCGTCTAAGACAGACACAGGAATATCTGCTACTCAGAAACTAGGAATCAAGTCCTCACCAGACTAATTCTGATCAACATTTCTTCTGGTCATACTACTCAAATGTGGAAGCTGTTTAAGCCATCTAGCCTATAATGCGTCATCACATTGCAGCCTAAAATATCTAAGACATTAACTTTATTAAGGATGAGCATCCAGGTGATCAATCTGTGTGTTCGGTTATTTCTAAGAAGTTGTTGTGTAGAAGACCTTCAAATTCATAGGTAAAGAACATATTTTTTCTTCCTATTCTTTTTTCTACTCCTCTTCTCCTTTTCCCTTCTATTGTAGGTTACATCACCTCAAATCATGTAACATAGAAAATGATATTACTATTATTATGACAGTCCCAAACTTCTAGTATTTGTCATAAAATACTTCAATTTTATTATTATCCCTCTTTCTGTAGCTCATTAAAGGGCTTTGGAAATGAAAGCCACCATTCTATAGTTTTAGTAGTTATATTTCTATTTACAAAATATCGTAATCATCCATCACTGAAAATTAAATAAATTTTGATACTAAGATGCATGTAAATTTTTTTTCAGCTTGTACACCATGTTTTATTTGGATGTTAATAAATGTCAGCATTGTATGAAAGATTCTCTTACAGAAGAAAATTTTCTCATATATCAAAACACTCAATTTAATCAGGATTGCATTTAAAAATTTTAAATAAGAAATGATTGATACAGAATAATCTCATTTTTGTAATGTATTTATATTAGTGTGGAGAAAAGAAAATATGCCACATGGGCCATGCTGTACCCTGGGACTTTGAGGCAGTATCCACCCTTTCTTACATAGAAATATATAAAAATTATAATTTCATGTGGTGTTGGTAATAAGGTAAACCATTTTATATTGCAAAATATTTTCATTTTCTCATAAGCTTTTTACATGATTTTAGAAGAAATTAAAATATTTCCTTGAACTACTAGAGTCTTGTCCTTCATATAAAAGTCATCTAGGCATGGAAACTCCTACAACTGCAAGAGCTTTTCCCAGACACAGGCAGGTTTTGAGGTACACTCTGGAAAGAGCCATCTGTTGAGGGATACTGATTTCTGAGCAGGTCAGAGTGGGGACCTGAGAAGAGGAATTGCAGGTGACCTTTCCTCACTTTTATAATGAGCAACAAAGACCCCTGTCAGTGTCCTGGGTGCCTGAGCCCGCTGCAACTGCCAGATAACTCAGGCTTCCTCCCTGACAAAGGTTTGCTCTGTCATCAAATTCTGCTGAGTCTCCTGAATTCAGTTCCAACCAGGCTTTA